AGATATTCTACTATTGTTTCTAATGTTACGACTACTACTACTACTACTACTACTACTACCACTACTACTACTACTACTACTACTACTACTACTACTACTACTACTAGTACTATTTCTACTACTGGTACTATTTCTACTACTACTACTACTACTACTGCTGCTGCTGCTGCTGCTGCTGCTACTACTACTACTACTACTACTACTACTACAACTACTACGACTGCTCTACTACTGCGAATATTCGTGCGATTACGAATGCCAATGCTAATAGTACTGCTGGTACTACCGCTACGACCACGACTACGATTGTTCTTTTGCCTGCGGCTACCACCACTACTATCACCCACTGTCGCTACCTTTTTGGTACGACAGCTACCATTACCTTTTTCGGCAGTTTACCCGCCTCCTTATCCAGGAATACTCTACGCCGCCAGGGGGGTGGGCGCTTGAACAGCGGCAGCGGCATCAAAGGCAGGGGGCAGGTTGGAGAGGAAGGAGGGAGAGCAGGAATAGGGTTGACGTCGAAAAAGAGAGAGGAGGAGGAAGGAGGAAGACGGAGCCCGAAACAGCCGAAGCGGCCGAAGCGGCCGAAACAGCCGAAGCGGCCGACACAGCCGAAGCGGCCGAAACAGCCGAAGTGGCCGAAATAGCTGAAGAGACAAAACGGCCGAAGCTGCCAAGACAGCCGAAGTGTCGGGAACAGCCGACGCAGCCGAACCAACCCTTGATTCGGTGATGATGGCTTTGGCGATGACCCCCACGACGACGACAATGTTTCCCCCAAGTGGTGCACCTGCGGACCAAGCAGCCCGTGCCTGGGCAACCACCAACGGCACGGTATTTCTTCACAGCCTCATGGAAAACTCCCGGTGCCAACGCGGCTGCCCCAACACTGCCCGCACTCAGTCACAGGCTCCGCCCTACGTGGATCGTCCACTGGGAACTCCGCGTTCTAGTCGTCCACGCGGTGGAAGCGAGTATGGGACGCAACTCCGTCGTTCTGCACCCGGTAGGGGTATTTGCCCCTTCTCAGGCGGCCGAAGGCGTAGTTCCTGCAGGGCTAGGTCTTGCAGGGCTTCATGAAGTCCTTGCCGATGTGCTTCTCGGGCCGCATCCCACAGCGCCTGCCGAAGGCAATGATCGGCCTGCCCTTTACCTGGGTAAGCATGTGCGTCGCGTGCGGGACCCAAACAAGATGATGTGTCACACGGGCGTGCCATCCTTCTGGAGTGGGGTCATCCGCCACCCTGACAAGACGCCCGTCGTGCTTGATGTAGCTTTGCCGCCAGGGATTCCTTGAGCGGGACCTATCGCGATATGGCCCGGAGGCAAAACACTGACGACCACATGTGAGCAGACATATTGGTTGCGGACATGCTTGCTCGGATTGGTGCATGGACGGCGATTGAGATAATATGCGAACTGGAGAAGGCATCCGAGACGAATGCGATCATGAGACGGAGGGGGAGGAAGAAGGGTAGGAAGAGGATAATCAGGAATGCGGATAGGAAGAGGATGAACATGAACACAAGACTTTCGTTGCGTTTTGGTGGTCTTGGCGAAGCGCAGCTGCCAGGTTTGGCCATGGAGGGATCTTGATTTTGTCTTGGGTCTGACGCGAGGGCCAGAACAGTAGGGGGGAAGTCAAGAATGATGCCCCTGTATACTCGGGTGAGCGCCTTCAGGCGTCAAGACGCACGCTCGAGAATACTCGGTCGGTCGCCCTCGGGGGATGTGGCCGAAATCCCGAGCACTTCCAATGTGAAGACGGACATCCGGCGGAATGTCGAATGCAGTCCTAGCTACCGCATTGGGCGCGCGAGAGCACGACGGCTTCCCGACTGGATCGATAGACGGCGCCTCTCCCTTTCCCCTTCCGAGCGCCAGCGCGCCGCCGGGGCGCCTCAAGGGCGCGCCCGCGGCAGTGCACCGCGCGGGCTCGCGATTGGCGCCTCGGAGCAGACAAGTTGGCTTGCCGCGCCGTCAAAGCAGGGAGTCCCCACCCCAGAGAATCCTCCGACCACGCGCCGCAGCCCGCGCTGGCTGGCAGCGCGCGACGGAGCGAAGCTGGGCTCCGCCACGCAGGGGGCCGCCGCGCGCGCGACGGTGCTCGCCTCGCCAAGAGCTCATATGTCTATATTTCCATTCGGCATGGGCCAGAGCCGTCGCGACCGAGGCAGCATTGTGCTTTCCGCGTGGGATGGGCAGCCGCCGCCGCGCGCGCATGGCTCTCGTCTCTCCTGCCTTGTGTTGCCTGCGCGGCATGCCCCAAAGCCGCCGCGCCCGCGGCAGCCCGGTGCGAATTATTCCACGCGGGGTGGTCCAGCGCCGCCGCGCGCGCGGCGGCTCTGTTTTTGCTGCTCATGTTTTCCATTGCGCAAAATTTAACCAAACCTACCTCGCGCGCAGCGGTTCTCGCCACTCCAGGCGCGCGCGCGTGCTTCTATGTTCGCAGAGTGTGCCAGAGCCGCCGCGCGCACGGCGGCCCTCACCTCGCCCACGGGTGTTTTTTGTCCGCGGAGGTGGGCCCGGGGCCCGCGCGCGCGGCGGTCCTCGCCCATGCCGTTTCAATTCTTTTCGCGTGAGATGGGCCAAAGCAGCCGCGCGCAGCTCAGCTCTCGCCTACCACGCCGCGCATTTCTCACGCAGGCTGAGCTAGAACCGACGCTTCCGCGGCGGCACTCTCGCTTCTCCCGCATTGTGTTCTCGTGCGCAGTATGGGCCAGAACCGCCGCGCGCGCGGCGCATTTCTCGCCTCTCCCGCCGCGCAGCCGCCGCGCGCGCGGCGGCTCCCGCATCTCCAACCGTGTGATTTCCGATGCAGCACGGGCCAAAGCAGCCGCGCGCGCAGTTGCTCTCTCCCCCCCGCACCGCGGGGACCTTCTACATTGTGCACGTCACGCTTCGACAAGCAATCGCCGATGTCAAGCCCCAGGCACGGCTGGGCTCGGGCACCAGAAGCCGACGACAAGCAACGCGCCATGCTTGGCCACAATGGTTGTCGAAGGGAACTGCGTGTGTGTGTGCGATGACGATACCATGCGACCATGCGTGAGGAACAATGTGGGCGATGAGCAGGAGGAGGCGGGAACTGAGGAGGAGATGGGAGGAGTCAGGTGGGCAATGTGTTGTGGAGGGAAGGCATGTTGAGAGGAGGGATCGCGTTGGCCGAAGCAGCTATGAGCATCTTCGGCCGATACATTTACGTCTACTAACGTGATATGGATTTCCTTTGCATGTTGGGCTCGAGTCCCGCTCCCCTCGTTTTGATTTGGGTCAGCTACCCCGAACGTCCAACTCATCCATCTGGCGCTACTGGAAATGTTTTCCCCTTTGCCCGCGGGGGGGGCGCGCGAGCTTGAACCTAGGTGGGCGTTAGTCGGCGAGGGGGGCAAGTACAAACTATCGGGTTGTTTCGTATTTCACAAGACTGGGGGCTTAAACAGTTCAATCTTGCGTGCCTGTTTCCGATTGCTGCCTCGGCTATCGTGTTCGATGTTCTTGCACTTGGGCTTGCCTTTCCTACCGTCCCACCTCCCCTCTCGCCCTGCTCCCTCTCCAGCCCGTGTTTGCCCTCGCTTTGTTGCTTCGAAAGCGCCCCGCCCATCTGCTCGAGGGCCGCAGCCCTGCGGGCGCGCACTGTAGTCCGCGCGCCTCCGCACCGCCCGGGAAGTTTAACTTCTACTGAGAAGTGGGAAGTCGTCGTTGTCGTCGCCAGTCGTCGTCGTGGTCGGCCGTCGTCGTCGTGAAAGCTCGCCAGGGCGACGGCGATGACGGCGACCATGGCGACGATGGCGACGATGGCGACGACGGCGGCGACGGCGGCAACGATGGCGAAGGCGATGGCGGCGACGACGACGACGACGACGACGACGACAATGGCGACGATGGCTGCCATGGCGGCCATGTCGGCGGCGGCGGCAAACTTTTCGGCGATGCCTTCGACGCCCTGATGGCGAGTCTGGGTTGAAGATCAAGGATCGAGCTGATAGGATCGAGGCTCGGGATTCGATGATCACGATGTTTGGTCGTTCTCTTGTCGTGCCTCTGGAGACCTCGGCGTAGAACCCCAGAGACCGCCACCGACGATGACGGCGATATGGACAGCGGCAGCGGCGGCAAACTCTCCAGCGACGCCGTCTGCAGCGATGCGATGTTTGAGCAGTTGGAATCTGTAGGTGCCACTGTGGATCTCCATCGGCCTCTGGAGGCCCAGGCCGGATCTGAGAAATTGCCGAGACATCATTCGGAGACCTCGTCGGGGGTGGTAGAGATCAGAAGGACAAGTAACGCACATGCGAACCGCACACTTGTACAGCCGTCAGTGTCGCAGGTTCGGCCCCATGAGGACCACCACTTTCGTCACGAACGGCCCCGTGCATCCCCTCCCCTGTCGATGCCCTGTTGGTGTGCATGCTACCTAGAATGTTGTGATCATGGATCTCTCAAGAGAGACCCGCGGGTTTGCCTGGCTAAAATTTGGATCTCATGAGGCTCCGAAATGAGCTCGACCTACGCTCCCCTTCGTGAAATTTTCGGTATTGGGACGGAAGCATCAGTTCCGTCCAAAACGGAATTGGTGCAAACATCAGTCTGCATGTCGCCGCTTTATCCTCTCGTCGTTCTCCTTCATGTCTCTCTCTTTCGCCTGTTCTGGCCTCTTGACCTGTCCGCTTGTCATCCTCGGCGCTGTCACCCGTGATTCCAGTTTAGCGCACCCACCGTCTGGTGGTTTGGCGCTCACACCGGTCCTGCGCCCCGCGCACCCACACGCCTGCGTTCCCGACGGTCCGTGCCAGACATTCTTGGGAGGCCTTCATGTCTCCTGTTTAGCATGGAGAGCGGTCCACTTCCAAGGACGTCGCGATTTCTCCATCGCCAGGCTAGATACGATCAGTCGGTCTATGTGGGATTGGGCATCGGCAGAACGAACGTGCGGGGGATGCGTGGCGCCCGTCGCTGCGAGCCGGCGCTGCAGGGAAGGCCTGGGCCGCCCGCAGGCGCGGACGCGGACGGCAACAGCGCGTTGGACATCCCAGAGTTTACCTTTACCCTGCTGCAGGCCACCTTTCAGGGGCAACCCAAGGGGGGGGATGGGCTCAGAGGGGGATGCAACGACCTCCAATCGCCCATCGAACGCCGCCAGGGCCCCGATGGCCCACCCCGCCCAGTAATATGCGGACTCGCCATCGCCGATCTATCGACGATGCATCGCCGGTTCCTGGGATTGCACGTTCTGTGGGCCTCCCTGCAAGCGATTGTCTGACTGCCGAATCGCCGACCCGCCTGGACTTCCTCTTGTTGGGATTGGCGCTTGATTGTGCAAGCACGGAGAGCGAGGGAGCCAGGGGGACCAATTCCGGGTGCTTCTTGTGGATTGCACGTATGTGTTGGCTCGATCTGATGGTTGCGAGCAAGCTCGTGGTGAGCGGTACGCGCCTATCATCCCAGAGGGGCGGTGCAATTGCGCAATGGCGCAAAGGCAACCGCACGGCGCGCATCGGGTGACCTTGGAACAAGTGCAGGAAGTCAGTTCAACATGCTCGGGCGGCTGCCCGCCCTCCTCCCCCTCCAGCCAGCCCCGCCCCGAGGTCGCATCATTCTGAGGCGTAGGCGGTGGCGTGCGCATGCTTCACAAGCCCAGAGTGGTGAGGAAGGAAGGAGGAGGGGGAGGAGAAGGAGGAGGAGGAGGAGGAGGAGGACGAGGAGGAGGAGGAGGAGGAAGAAGAAGAGGAGGAGGAAGAAGAAGAACAATAGTAACAAAGTGCAAAGGACCAGGAGGGGTACCCTTTCCTGTTGGAGGTGCCTGCGCGTTCGGTCTCGTTGGGTTCATTGGGCGATAGCTTCATTGCCATGATATCTGAACCCCTTGCACCGTGTCCGACTTTATATCCTCCTGGCGTTGATCGAGCCAACTATCCAACTGCCTCCGGCAATTCCCACCACCATGCCATCGCAGCATAAAAGTGCCTTGCAGGATTGTCACACGAGCTCTTCCGAACATGATCAGTACAGTGCGGGCGCGGTCGCAAGAAACCCTCGCAAGAAACCCAACCCTGAAAACCCGCGCGCGAGGTGCAACTGAGGGGAAACCTGGAGCACCCCGAACGCAGCAGCTCCTTCAACGGCCGCGGGAAGTCACCGCGCATCGCGCGTAGCGAAGAAACCCATGGTACCCTGACGAAAAGTAGATGGCTTCTTGATGCGCCGCCCCACTGTAGAACTACAAGCTTGGGGCAGCATGAGAAACAGCACCAACCCAGGCGGGGATGTCGCCAGCGCGCCCGTCGGCCCTTGCGCAGGCATCGGCCTCCTGCAAAGGGGGACCGCCACGTGGCCCCGCGGGGTTCATCCACCAGAAATCCCTGCCGCGCGAAGTGAGCAGAAACGCCTGCGCGAGAGCGAGCGCTACACATTGTTCATTTTTATGTCTTCGAAAGTTCTTTGATTTGTTGGGGGGCCAAGATCCGTTCATTTCTACTTGCTCTGTCCTGGGCCTCGTCCTGGCCACTAGGGGGCCAGGAACAATTAGAAACGAGCACAATTTGAAATAAGCACGATTAGAAATGAACGACGTGTAAGTGCGTTGCGTGGCCGCAACGTTGAATAGTTGTTGTGATGTCTATTGATGGCTTCTTGGAGGCTTCTTCGGCTGTGCTAGCACGCTCGTGCCCCCCGACGAAGACGAAGACGAAGCTTGGTGGACCGACCGCTGTGTCGAGCGGCCACCTGTTTGCTCAGGCTGTCGTTCCCTCGTTCCCCCCTCTTACGCGTACGTCTGACGGAGAAGGCGGAGGAGCAGCAGCAGGAGGAAGGATGATGAGTCAGAGGTAGAGGAAGAGGAACTGCAGCAGGAGGATGAGGAGCAGGTCCCTGCAACGTCTCCGGAGGCCTCCCGATGGGCCGCCCAAAACGCCCCCCGAATTTCGAACCTCGATCGAGGAAGAGGAGGGCGGGAATCGCGGTTGGGGCATTCTACGACATGCTCCCCTCGGCGCAGGCCGTGCTGGGGAACCAGTCCCTGGGCGGCTCCCTGGACGTGCCCGGCGAGGCCTCCACGCGTGGACGCCGCCGACGACGAAGACGGTCGACGACGGCGGCCGACGACGGCCGACAATGGCCGACGACGACGACGACGGCGACGACGCCGCCACCACTGCCGCTGCCGCCACCGCCGCGGCCGCCGACGACGACGCCGCCGCGGCCGACGACGACGACGACGACGACGCCGACGACGACGACGACGACGACGACGACGACGACGACGACGACGACGACGACGGCGGCGGCGGCGGCGGCGGCGGCGGCGGCGGCGGCGGTGGCCGCGGCTTCGGCGTCGGCGGCGGCCTGGCGAGGCCCTCGTGGACGCTGCGTGGCTCCTCGCGGACGCCGACGGCGACGGGCGCGTGGGTCGCGAGGACCCGTTGGGGGCCCACGGGCGGGGCTTCTGCCTGGGGTTACGTCGGGCCTGTCCCTCTACAGGGGAAATCTCCAAAATAGGTAAAAAAAATATCCCTGCAAAGCAACCTAACAGCGATATGTATAAGCATATCTGGAAGCATTCCCCTTAAGATTCAGGTGAGAATCCAGTTGTAGAACTCTGCTGTTCTCGCAGTCGCAGTCGCATTCGCAATGACAGTCGCAGTGGCAACGGCCTTAGGATCCAATGGAATCCTCAGGATTCCTAAGGATTCCTAAGGCATCCTTAGGCATCCTTAGGAATCCATAGGAATCCTTAGGAAACCTTAGGACTCCTTAGGAATCCTGGTTCGTAGGGATTCCTAGGGATTCCGAAGGATTCCTGAGGAATCCTCAGGATTCCTGAGGATTCCTGATGATGCTTAACTATGCCTACGGATTCCTAAGGATGCCTACGGATTCCTAGGGATTCCTAAGGATTCCTATGGATTCCTACGGATGCCTCAGCCTGCCTCAGTTTCAGCCTCAGCCTCAGCCTGCCTCGGCTTGCTTCAGCATCAGCCTCAGCCTGCCTCGGCCTCAGCCTCAGCCTGCCTCAGCCTCAGCCTCAGCCTGCCTCGGCCTCAGTCTGCGTCAGCCTCAGCCTCAGCCTGCCTCGGCCTCAGCCTCAGCCTCAGCCTGCCTCGGCTTGCCTCAGCCTCAGCCTCAGCCTGCATCAGCCTCAGCCTGCCTTGGCTTGCTTCGGCCTCAGTCTCAGCCTGCCTCGGCCTCAGCCTCAGCCTCAGCCTCAGCCTCAGCCTGCCTCAGCCTCAGCCTGCCTCAGCCTCAGCCTGCATCATCCTCAGCCTCAGCCTGCCTCAGCCGCAGCTTGCCTCAGCCTCAGCCGCAGCCTCAGCTTCTGCCTCAGCCTGCCTCAGCTTCTGCCTCAGCCTCAGCCTGCCTCGGCCTCAGCCTCAGCCTCAGCCTCAGCCTGCCTCGGCCTCAGTCTCAGCCTCAGCCTGCCTCAGCCTCAGCGTCAGCCTCTCAGCCTCAGCCTGCATCAGCCTCAGCCTCAGCCTCAGCCTGCCTCAGCCTCAGTCTCAGCCTCAGCCTCAGCCTCAGCCTCAGCCTCAGCCCTCAGCCTGCGTCGCCTCAGCCTCAGCCTGCCTCAGCCTCAGCCTGCCTCAGCCTCAGCCTCAGCCTGCCTCGGCGTGCCTCAGCCTCAGCCTCAGCCTGCCTCGGCCTCAGCCTGCCTCGGCCTCAGCCTGCCTCAGCTCGGGCATTCAAAATATGGCACAGGACTAGTGTTCTGGGAACACGAAGATCACGAAGTGGCCTACACTTGGTTGGCTCCGGGCAATCAAAATATGGTACAGGAATGGTGTTCTGGGAACACGAAGAACACGAAGTGGCCTACAGTCGGATCCGGGCATTGAAATGTATCCCGGGAATGGTGTTCTGGGAACACGAAGAACACGAAGTGGCCTACAGTTGGCTCCGGGCATTCAAAATGTGGCCTGGGAATGGTGTTCTGGGAAAACGAAGAACACGAAGTGGCCTACAGTTGGCTCCGGGCATTCAAAATGTGGCCTGGGAATGGTGTTATGATGGTTCCGGGCAGTCAAAATGTGGCCTGGGATAAGGTTTTGGGAGTCCCCGGATTCCCGCGGCAGTCCCCGGATTCCCGCGGCCCCTGTCCGGCATCTGCCCAGACCCCCCTCGGGAGTCATGATGCTCTCTTTTGAGACCACTAGAGACCTATCAGTCTTCGCTGTTAGGTGAAGTAGTCAGGGGGTGATTTTTTGGCCGTGTCTGATGATTTGGGGAGCATTCTTCGGGTATGTTCAATTTCTCGCCCAAAATCCCCTGGAAGGGGGACAGGTCCGACTTAAGTCTGGGGGAGGGGGGGGCACGCAGGGCGCTGCGCTCCGCAGGGTGCAGGGGCGCCGTTCGCCGGGCGCTGGCCGAGGGCGCGCGCGGCGGGCGGCGCGAGGAGGGCCCAGACCTGCTCGCGCCGTGGATGGGGTCACCACGAGAGGTGTTGGGCCTGCTTTCAACCACCACCACCACCAGAAGTTGGAGGGGGGAAGGAGGTGGAGGACGAGGAGGAGGAGGAGGAGGAGGCGGCGGAGGCGGAGGAGGAGGCGGAGGAGGAGGAGGAGGCGGAGGAGGAGGGGGAGGAGGAGGAGTAGGAGGGGGGGGGAGGAGGAGGAGGAGGACGAGGAGGAGGAGGACGAGGAGGACGAGGAGGAGGAGGAGGAGGAGGAGGAGGAGGACCCCCTCCCCCTCCAACTTATGGTGGTGGTGGTGGAAAGCAGGCTCATCGAGAGAGGTTCTGGTTTGTTTGTTTGCTTGGTTGTTTTGCCGGAACAGCTTGCTGAACGGGGCGCTGTTGTGATAGGAACGAGGTCCAGCCGAGGGAGAAGGGGAGCAGAGACATCATGAACAAAAAAACTGGTGATCAGGGCCGTTTCGCTCCAGACATCCTCGCAAGTCTCGTTTCTAACTTGTCCGGGATTGCCATTCCGCCTGAGACATCCTCGAACATCTGCGCTGGAGGATGCCGCGCGCGAGGTGTTCCGGGCCGTGTCGCCTGACACATTCTCGAAATTCTTATCCACGAGATGCTTTGCGAGAGATGGTCCGGCGCGTTTAGCCTGAGACATCCTCCCAATTCTGAGCTCCGAGATGCCCCGCGAGAGAAGGCCCGGCGCGTTTCGCCTGAGGTTATCCTTGCAACTCTGCGCTCCGAGTTGTTGCGTGCGAGGTGGTCCGGCGCGTTTCGCTTGAGACACCCTCGTCACCCCTCAGCTCCGAAATATTGCGCGAGAGGTGGTTCAGCTCGTTTCGCCTGAGACATCCTTGCAGTTCTGAGCTATGACAAAGTGTGCGCAAGGGTATGTGGCCCGTTTCGCTTGAGGTATCCTCGTAATTCGGGTCTTCGAGATGCTGCGCCAGAGGTGGTCTGGCCTGTTTCGCCTGAGACATCCTCGATATTGTGAAGGCCTGACGGCCGGTGCCGCCGACCCTAAAGACATCGACGACGACGAGGGGGGGAGGAGTACGAGAAGGAGGAGGGGGAGGAAGAGGAGCAGGAGGCGGAGATGGAGGATATTTTTGATATTCGCTTCGGGGGTGCACTAAGGCAGCGGCCTGACTCCTTCCCCTTGGGGAGGAAGACTGGAGGAGGACTAGCGAGGGAGAGGTGAGGGAAGGGGGAGGAAGACCCCCAGGGACGGATGCGTATCTAACTCCCCTCCCCCCCTGGGACTCCTCCCCACCTGGGGAGGTGGACCCAAGGAGGACCGGCGCGCCAGAGAAGGACCAGCGCGCTGGAGAAGGACCGGCGTGGGAGAGGAGGACCCCCAGAGGCGATGCGAATCTGACCCCTCCCCCCGGGACCCCACCCCCGCCAGGGAAGGGACGAAGGGAAGGGAGTTGCGGAAGAGGATGGGCAGGAGGAGGATGAGAGAAGAGGAGGAGGAGGAGGAGGCGGAGGAGGAGGAGGAGGAGGAGGAGGAGGAGGATCAGGATGAGGAGATGACGAGGAGGAGGAGGAGGAGGAGGAGGAGGAGGAGGAGGAGGAGGAGGAGGAGGAAAGGGAGGAGGAGGAAAGTGAGGAGGAAGAGTAGGAGGAGAAGGAGGAGGAGGGGAATGAGGAGGAGGAGGAGGAGAGGAGGAGGAGGAGAAAGAGGATACTGAGGTGCAGTGGAAGGGGGAGGGCGAGGGCGAAAAGTATAATTACGTCAATGCGGGGAAAGAGGACGACGTCGACAATCACGAAAAGCTAGACGACGCACAAAGCGTAGGCGGATCAGAGGCAGGAGAACGCGCGAACATCCTAAGGAACCATCTTGACTCCAAAAAGCGCTGTTTGGGGATGCTGGGTTCTAGTCAGAACTCATTTGTTGGGGGGCACGATTTGTCCGCCTCTGTCCTCGCTTGCACATGCATGACCGTGCCAAGCATCGCGTCGCACTCAGCGCTCTGTGGCGGCAGCCGTCTCAGGCACGAAGCACGTCTTCTTCCAGCAAGCCCCGACACTTGACGCGCAGGGATCCTCGCTGAAGGCCGCGTGCGTGAGGGGTGAGTCCAGCCGCGCCTCCTGGTGCCGAAGGTGCCGGAGGTCCACCAGAGAGCCCCGACGGAGGCCCGCCGACGGCCTTCGGTGGCTCTGCCGGCAGCCTCAAGCATGCTCGCGTCGTGAAGGACGTCGGGGGCTTCCTTGGAGATCTTTGCATGTACGGAGGGGGCGCGCATGAGGAAACCATCTGCTTGTCGTCAGGGTATGCCTCATCGGGATGCCTTCGGGGGAGGCTAGGATTGTCCCCGACAGCCGCTCGAGGCCCGATTTAGGGCCCGTCGACGTCCGTCGTCGTCGTCGTCGTCGCTGCTGCCGCCAGCCGCCGATGCCGCTGCCACTATAGTGGGGGCGCGCATCAAGAAGGTATCGTGGGTTTCTTCGCTCCGCGCGCCGCGCAGTGGCTTCCCGCAGCCGGGGAAGGAGCGGCTGCGTTCAGGGTGCTCCGGGTTTCCGCTCAGGTGTACCGCGCGCATGTTTGCACTGTTGGGTTTTTTGCGAGAGTTTCTTGCGGCCGCCCCCGTACTGTACGTCGAACAGTCCGGATATCCCTTGTTTCAAATTTATCTACGTCGATTTAGCTGGCTTTGATTCCCGCAAGTCGACCGGAGAAGAGTCGTGAAGCCCGTGTGCAGATGGCGCCTGCACGCAGCCGCCGTGCTTGGCCAGGGCCTGGGCCAGGGCCACCCTGGGTTCCCGCGCTCGTGTCGCAGACATGGTCGCGGCGTGAAAGAAACCACGACGGCAAGTTTTTGTCAGTTTTCGGCCTGGGGTGGGGCCCTCGCTGGGCCCTGTGGCCGTCAGAAAAATGCTCGGGATGGAAAACCGGCCTTGGGGAAAGGGTTGGAGCTGCCGGGTACCCCGTATGGCACACATCATGACATCGGATGTCTGGATTATTGCCGCGGCAGCGGCAGTGCTCCCTCCCTCTCAGCCACGCCTCCTTCCCATCGACGTCTTCCTTTTCGTCCTCGTCAACAAGCCCGTCTCCAGCCCATGCGCCAAGGTTCCCCATCCTGCCTCCATTCTTCCCCTCCCCCCTTCCTTTCTCCTCCTTCTTTCCCCCCAGTTCCCAGGAGCTGGCCGAGCTGGGCCGTGAGCTCAACCTTACGTACGCGGGGCTCGGGCCCATGCTGGCCCCTGCGGGCGCGAGCGGTGCCCTCGAGAACAGCGCCCAGTTCCAGAGTTCGGTCGCGAAGGTCGGGGGGCAAGAGATGATGATGATGATGATGATGATGATGATGATGATGATGATGATGATGATGATGATGATGATGATGATGATGATGATGATGATGATGATGATGATGATATGGATGATGATGATGATGATGATGATGATGATGGTGGTGGTGGTGGTGTGGTGGTGGTGGTGATGATGATGATGATGATGATGATGAGGATGAGGATGATGGTGATGATGGTGATGGTGGTGATGATGGTGATGATGGTGATGGTGGTGATGATGGTGATGATGATGATGATGGTGATGATGGTGATGATGATGATGATGGTGATGATGATGATGATGACGATGATGATGATGATGATGATGATGATGATGATGATGCCGATGGCAATGGTGATGGTAATGATGGTGACGACGAAATTAGTGATGCTAGTGATGACGATGATGATGACGATGGTGATGGTGATGATGATGCAGATGCAGATGCTGATGCTTGTGCTGGTGATGCAGATGATGATGATGACGATGAAGATGATGGTGATGCTGAGTATGATGATGATTATGACGAGGGTGGTGGTGATGATGCTTAGGGTGATGACGGTGATGAGTATGATGATGATGATGATGATGATGATGATGATGATGATGATGATGATGATGATGTGGATGCTAACGATAATGATGATGGTGATGATGGTGTTGCTGATAATGCTATTGATGAGGATGATGATGATGAGACTGATGATGATATTCATGGTAATACAGATGATGATGGTGATGGTGATGATGCGGCGTAGGATGATACTGATGACGGTGTCGATGGTAGTGGTGGTGATGGTGATGGTGATGATGACGATGATGATGTTGATGATGCTGATGATGATGGTGATGGTGATAATGACGTTGGTGCTTCTGTTGGTTATGCTTAAACTGATGGTGGCGATGCTGATTATGTTCATGGTGTGTATGTGGATGATGGTGATGAGCTGACGATGATGTTGGCGACGATAATGGTGCTTATGGTTGTGATGATGATGATGATGATGATGATGATGATGGTGGTGGTGGTGATGGTGATGGTGGTGGTGATGATGATGATGTCGATGGTGGTCGTGGTGATGATGATGATTATGATGCTGCTGGTGCTGCTGATGATGAGGATGAGGATGGTGATGATGATGTGGATAATGATGATGATGATGCTGATGATGATGCTGCTGATGATGATGATTGTGCTGATACTGATGATGAGGACGATGGTGATGATGGTGTTGATGATGCTATGGACAACTACTTGGCTCCAGCAAAAGTTTCCTTGGAAACTCGCAAGAGGAAGAATATGTATGTAAACCCGTCGGCAAGATGAAAAGTCGCTCGCGCGTGCTCAGCGTTCGCACGCACGCGATCCCAAGACGTCCCATGGCCACAATATGCTTCCAGGAATGCCTCAGGCCACGGACGATAACGTCCAGAGGACCCCGGATGATGCCACCCCAACGCGATCCCGCCATGGATTCTGGACCGTCTCAGGCCGACTCGCAGATGACGAAACACATGAGCAACGCGTGACGCCGAGATGGCCCGATGGCAACAAGATGGATCCAAGCGCGTCCAGGGTGGCCTCATAATGACCACGCGATGGTTGCGTGATCCAAACATGACCGGGATATGATCTCAAGATGACCTCAAGACGACCCCAACACGGCAATAATACTGCAATTGATGAGCCCCATCTTACTTCGAGCCGATCCCAGCATGGTGGGATCCGTGAACGGCCCGGGATTTTGGTCTACCCCATTTTTAATGGGTGGGATTTTGATCGTCCTGAACTAAACTTATAAAATTAAAGCGGAATAAGCCAGGCGGGATCCCGCCGGGCCCACGGAGGAAGACAACATTGCTAGGCTTCTACGGGGGTAGGGGGTTCGGAAGGGGCGTCGTTCACTTCCGCTGACATTGGCAAGCCTTCCGGCGGCCTTCCCCCGTCTTCCGCCTCGTTTTACTTCCGTCGACTTCCGCCGGCCAGCGTCGTGATGAAATTTCCAGGAACTTTCATTGGGCCGATGTATGCTAATGATGATGACGATGATGATGATGATGATGATGATGATGATGATGATGATGATGATGATGTTGATGCTGATGCTGATGCTGATGCTTACGATTATGATGATGATTGTCGTGATAATGACCATTGGGGCTAATCATTATGCTGGTGATGATCATGCTGATGGTGCTGATTTGATGCTGATGCTGCTGCTGATGCTGCTGCTGCTGATGATGATGATGATGATGATGAGGATGCTGATGATGATAATGATGATGATGATGAGGAGGAGGAGGAGGAGGAGGGGGATGAGGGAGGACTAGGAATATGGAGGAGGGGAAACAGGAGGAGGAGGAGGAGGAGGAGGAGGAGGAGGAGGAGGAGGGGGAGGACGAGAAGGAGGACGAAGTTGACAAGGAGGAGGACGAGAAGGAGGAGGAGGAGGAGGAGCAGGAGGAGGAGGAGGAGGAGGCGGGGTAGGAAATGGGCGGGATGGGGATTTCGGGAGGGAGGGAATGTAAGAGGAAGAGGGCAGGATGGATGATAGCATGGGGGAGGTGAGAGGAGGGAGTGGCCGGAGGAATTGGAGAGGGGGTGGGGACAGAGTGAGGGAGGTCGGGGGCGAGGAGAAGGAGGAGGGAGGGACGATGTCGGCCGGAGGAGGGAGAAGGAAAGGGTACAGGAAGGGCAGGGCCCGTCTTTCTCCCCCCCCTCATCTTCCTCCTCATCCCCCCTTCTCCTCCTCTTTTCCCCCGCTCCCCTGCTCGCACTCCCCCTCGCCCTCCTGCCTCGCCCACCTCCGGCCCTCCTCCTCGCCTGACCCCCCTCCTCCTCGCCTGCCCTCCTCCTCGTCCTCCCTCCCCCCCCGAGAGGGCTCGCTCACGTCGCCGTGGGGCCGGCCGCCGGGGCCCCCCCGGGGGGCGGGGCCCCTCCTCTGCGGAGGCCTGCGCCGTCGCCGGCACCTCCACGCTCGTCCAGGCGCCGCCCGTGGGGCCGGCGGCCTGCCGCCCTCGCCCGGGCCCACGGCGGCCAGCCGAGGCGTCGTGTCGAGGCTCGAGGAGCGGCGCAGCGCCCTGGCTTGCCTACACACTGTTCCTTCCTAAATATTCGAAAGGTCTTTGATTTTTCTGGGGGCCGAGATCCTCTCATTTCCAATTGTTCTATCCTGGGCCTCTTCCTGGCCACTAGGGGGCCAGGAACAATTTGAAACGAGCACAATTAGAAATGAGCGCGATTAGAAATAAACGACGTGTATATAGGCCCACCAGAAAATGTTCTGAGAACCTCTTGTGGTCTGCACGGCATGTTCTTGGAACACTTCTGGCTGAGACCCTCCTGCTTTGACACATCGGGCTTGTGCTCTAAGGGCATTGCTGTTGTTATTCGAACATTTGGGAGCTCCAACAACGTATCGTGGTAGGCTCTTATAGCTAGGAGTGCCGGGACGGTCGGTCCCCGCTCAAGAAGCAGCGCTGGGCCGAGAGGGTGGCTTCGGCGAATGCCGGCTTCCGTGAAGCCCAGGGATCGCTTCTCGGGCCTCGCCGCACCTCCCCCGGGCTCGTTTCGATGCCTCCGAGTCGATTCGATTCGATTTGATTTCGGTGGCTTCCGACTCCGATTCGATTCGACTTCGGGTTTCGGTTTGCACTCCGATTCCTCACTGGACACATGCTAGCCTGTTGATGGCCTCCGATCCGACTTCTTCCGACTCGGCTGCCGAGTCCCGCCGATCCGTCGTGCCGATCGCCGATCCGGCTTGTCGATTCGACTCTGGGCTCGCCCTGCCCTCCCCCCTCTCAGGAGGGGAAAAAACACACAGACACAATTAATCGGCGATTCCCAGAAAATATGGGAAAATATGGGAAGTGGGGGGAAGACAAAAACCCAGAAAATATTGGAAAATATGGGGGATATTTTTATTTGTGTGTATTTATTTGTGTGTCCCAGTTCCCCTTCAAATCTGGGCTCTCCCTGCCCTCCCCCCTCCCTTTCCCCAGTCCCCCGCGCTCGTCCAGGCGCGCAGCCCGCGGTCGGGCATCGCCGGGACCCGCTGGTGGGGCCAGGCGGTCAATGATTCGGCCTCCTCCTCCTCCTCCTCCTCCTCCTCCTCCTCCTCCTCCTCCTCCTCCTCCTCTCTCTCCTCCTCCTCCTCCTCCTTCTCCTCCTCCTCCTCCTCCTCCTTCTCCTCCTCCTCCTCTCCTCCTCCTCCCCCTCCTACTCCCCCCTCCTCTCCCCTACCTCCTCCTCCTCCCCTCCTCCTCCTCCTCCTCCTCATCCTCCTCCCCTCCTCCTCCTCCTCCTCCTCCTCCTCCTCCTCCTCCTCCTGAGAGGCTAGCCGGGGGCACGAGGCCAGGTCTCGCAGGCCCAGAGGTTGACACCAACACCAGTATCGGCGGTGTTCCACCGAGGGAAGAAGATCCCGATCTCGGCGATGTGGCAATACTCTGGCTTCCGAGGTGACCGAAGGATTACCACCAACACCGGAATCTAGGATCATCTCCCCCCTTGTGGAGGCAGCCCCCCTGTCTTGGTGTTGGTGCCCATATCCAGGCCTCCAAAAGTCTGCCGCATAGCCGGTGTGTCTTCGGGTGGCGGCAGTTCTGGTCAGTGGAATTCGGGGGCAACGGTCGGGGGGGTATACATGGGGGGATGCATCGACCTCGAATGGTTGACACACCGACGATGCATCGAGGATGCATCATTGATATCAGGGCGATGTATCGATGATGTATAGACGATACATGGGGGCCGTCTGCATCGACGATGCATCGGCGATACATGGACGAGGCATCGGCCATTCGCGGTCGATGCATCACCCCCTATGCCCAATCCCCCCATCTAACCAGCAGCGAACTTGTTCCTATTCCTAAGATTGGCAAGCCAAAAGTCGACGACGATCTTAGGGACGCGTCCTCAGAAACTGATGTGATTTTCAAGACCAGCATCACGAGAAGGTTATGCCCATTAGAGGGATAGGGACAGGGATAGGGATATGTTGCAGATTGGTAATGGGAAGGCTCGCAGAGGGGGGCTGGCGAATCGCCTCGCGTGGCTGATTTCCCTGGCGCTGGGAGGCCCTGGGAGGCGCCAGTGGTGTCTCGAGGGAGGCGCTCGGTGGGACGGCGCGTTGATTGGTGGCGGCTCCCGTTTCGATCTCACGGCGGCGCGCTCCGTCGCCAACCCGGGCGGCACTGGCGCCGTGTTTCGGGGGGCACAGTCCCCCCGATCCGTGGCTCTGGCGCCCACGCGCCAGACCTGCGGATCCCTGGCCCAGGCTGGCGTGCAGTGGCGCGAGCCGTCCCAGCAGGGCGACGAGCGTGCCATCGTCCGTGCGGAGCCCTCTCCCGCGGAGGACGCGCCGCATGCCGCACCAAGAGCACACGCGTCCGCCGCAGGGGCGAGGGCGCGCAGGCGCGCAGGCCCCGGCTGCCCGAGGCACGCGCGGACCGCTCGGGCTCGGGGAGGGGAGGC